CTTAGGGCTCACTGGACCATGAGGGCTCTCTCCAAAATTCCTCTTTAACCTTCAACAACTGTTTCTTCAGCCTCTAACATTTTTTATGTACTAGAGATGGATGTAGACCCAGGTTTTCACTGCCTCTTTTCCAAGTCCTGTTTGGTGTTATCCTGCCTCATTTTGGAATGTGATATCTATTAACTTGGAGCCTCAACTGGGGAGTTCCATTTCATCATCCTATGCCCATATTTGTTTTTACGAAACATGTAGAGGGGTGCCTGGTATAAAGCGTGTACTGAACAAATGACAGTCATGAGTGATTCCATCTTATAAGCTCTGCATTTGCATTCAGTTCATCACCATTGCTTTTGGTTTTATCCCAATTACCTGGTTTTATCCTTATTACCTTGTTTTACGCTTTGTAAGTTTTATGTTTCCTTTAGACTATGCTTGTGGGGGGGTGGTGTGTGTATGTGGAGATATTTGCTATTATCTTCTGCAGTGATTTGGAAAATAGACATATTGTTTTTAATTCTAGTGTCTACCCTACATTTTTCAAAGACATCAGTAAGCCTATGTTATCTCACTTTAATCATGTATAACAAGGCAATGGTCTTTGTATATTCTGCAGTTAGTTAAATGGGAATTTCAGAGCACTGACTGGCTGTCCACACTTGTGCTACCCTCTTGCCATGATGTCTGTCCAACAGCTTTGAAAACGCTGGGTTTAAGGCCCGCTCATTTCTGTCCCGAATTTTTCCAATTGCCAGCTAGCAGTTTTTGATACCTCTGGCCTTGTCTTCCTTTATCCTTCATTTTGCTCCCAATTATATCTTTCTAAAAAGTCATATCTGGGCAAGTTACTCTTGACTTAAAACCCTTTAGTGGTCCTTGGTTGGCTATAGGATAAGATCCAAACTCCTCAGCCTGGTTGGAGTTCAGGGTGCCATGTGATCTGGCCCACTTTCCTGGCCCATCTCATGCCACACTGAACCATTCATTTACCTGTTACCACACTGATTTGCACCAAGATTTTCAAGTGCATTGGTCACAGAATCTCATATCCCCATGCCTTTGCTCATGTCATCCTCTTTGTCTAAAGTGCCCTCTGGGCAAAAAGCCCAGCACAGTGCCTGGCCAGTCATAGAATCTTGGAAACAGTTAAGCTTTCCTCTTCCTTTCTTATCAGTCTCTCAAAATCCTACTCATCCTTCAAGGCCCAATTCAACTGTCATTCTTTTTCGTTCTCAGGAAGGGCTTGTCCGAACTTGACTTCTCTCCCTCTGGTACCATTGACTGCCCCTCCTCTGTGTCCCCCACCCCCCAGCACTTCATACGCCTGTATTGTAACACTAGCTTCCTGTCTAGCGTTGGTGCTTCCTGTCTCTCCTGCCAGACTGACAGCTCCCTGAGAGCAGGACTCGGCCTGGCACCTGCCAAAGCCCTCCTGGATCTTTGAGCCCGGTTGGGTCTAGTAAATGTTTGACCGATTTGAATTACGTTCCTCGGACTGCAAATATATAGCACCAAGCTACTAGACAGGGCACCTTGGGATTTGGTGCCCAATCTGAATAGATATTCATTTATTATTCATATCCTTTTGCTTCTAAAATTGACTAGAGGTGGCCCAGACTCAATAAAAATGTTAAATTAGAAATAGACAATTTAAGACTCCACATAGAAATAGCACGTTGCCAAAATGCTAATCTTCCTTGGGTGAACTAGTCTTGCTGAGGGGAGCTTGCACTGGTTTCCTCCAGCCGGGGTGGCAGATGTGAGGGTCTCTCTCAGGCTGTATCAGTCTGTGTGCATTCTTTCACACAGACTCACAAACTATGGCTATGTTTGAAAATGCCTAAGATGCAATGAAGATCATTTAAATTCACAGCAAATATCTCACCCTTGCAGGGTTTGCACAGGTGGTGAAGAGGGCACACCAGTCCTGCTCTGTGGCAGTGGTTGTAGCAATAACCTTGTTCCTTGGGCTAAATCTGAAAAGTTTAGGTCCTTCTTCAAGGGTCACTCACTGTATAGCACAGATGTATTACAGCCATGGCCTAGTACAGTAGTCGTCACATGGCTTTCCAGAGCGCATTTTGAAAGAAGCCGAGGGCATACATTTAAATGCCATTTGAGCAAGAAAACCCATTACCAGTTCTGAGTTGAGTATGAACACTCACACGCCCCTTAGAACTCACAGAAGCACACACTTTGACCCTCCCCATGCACACACATTTTTAGCATGCCATCCAACAGAGGTTCTTGTGCAGACCCATTCAGACTGTAGAGCCACCTCACACACACCCACACCCACACCCATACTCATGCACTCTCACCTACACTCATGCATACACTGGCACAGTCTCGCTGGCTCCCACACATCCCATGTTCACACGCACAGCCTCTGCAGGAAGAGAAACACGGAGAGCCATCTTATTTTTGCACCTCACTCTGCCTCCAGATTTTGCTCCCTAAGGACTGAACCTAAAGTGTCTATTTAATAGATTCAATTACTCCAGACTCCTGAGACCTTCCAACTTGATTCTGATTGCTTAAAGGTGTCAGATAATTAGAATAAAGGCGGAAAGCAGCCTCAAATTCTTGAAGAGGAAGTCTTCTAGGCTCTAGTCAGCTGTTGATTGCAGCTTTGGGAGGGGTAATCTAGAGCAGGGGTCCCCAAGCCCCAGGCCACAGACCAGTAGTGGTCTGTGGCCTATTAAGAACCTGGCTACACAGCAAGAAGTTAGTGGCCGGCGAGAGAGTGAAGCTTCATCTGTATTTGCAGCCACTCCCCGGTGCTGGCATCACTGCCTCAGATCATCAGGAATTAGATTCCCTTGTGCCAAAAATATTGGGGACTGCTGGTAGAGGGTGGGGCCAGCCTCTTGTGTCTCTTCAGGGCTCTGTCCATGGGTCCTGGGTCCTGAAGGTTAGAGGCCCTTAGGTAGTGCTTTCCCATGCTGCCTTGACCTCTAAGGCAGGGACAAGTCCCTTTCTGCTGCCCTCCTGGGAGCCTGACAAGGCTGAAAACATAGGCCCAGGCAAAGTGTCCCAGTAGGCAAGCAATAGCTCAACTTTCTGCCCCTGTACCCCACTCCAGGGTGATTATTTTGTCTGCTCTCTGTCCTCAGTGACAGTGATAGCTCTTGGAAATTGACAAATAATCAGAAGTCACAGCCTTCAGACAGTGTCAATGCTGTGCCAGACAGAGATGGATCTCATAGACCTTTCCTGCACTCCAGAAGCCTGGAGAGACAGGCTGCATGCATGTGCACTACGTGAACTATGATAGGTAAGAAGGAGGCTAAGGGCAAGGGCTCTGGACCCAGACCACTTGTGTGTGAATCCTAGCTTCACCACTGATCGGTTGTGCGACTTTGGGCAAGATCTTTGCCTTCTCTGTGCCGATTCTGCTGTAAATGGGTACGATAATAGCATCTACCTCCTAGGTTGGTTGTGAGGATGAAATGACTTACAGTATACAGATATACCTAACACAGGTCCCGATGCTCAGCAAATGCTCCAAATCTCTTGGTTATTGCTTTTATAGTGAAAGGCAAGGCTGAAAGGCTGGGAGAGTCCTAGCTGGAGTCCTAGCTGTGGGCTCAGGGCAGTATGATGGGGCCTTCCCTCAGCCCAGCTGGTTCTCACACTTGCCCCCACCCAGTCGTGCAGTCATGACAGCCTACTTAGCACCAGAGAATCCCTGCATGGGCATTCTTCTGACATGGTTGGGGTGGGGGTGCAGGTGGGTGGGTGCTGCTGAATCCAGGGTTCACATGGGAATACCTACATGTAATGTGGAGACTGCTCCTAAGTAGACGCCTCCCTGATCACCTAACTTCACTCTGCTTCCATACCCCAATCTCCTCCCCCGCCCCTGTGAATTCTCTGCCCTTCCTTCACCTCAACATCCCAGGCCTTGCTTTAAAGTTTTAAAGTTGGTGGTGCTGGTCTCAGCCAGGACCTTCTCATCACTTGGAGACTTTAAGATGATCATTTTTGATAAGTTTTTGCTCCTTTTAAGTGTGGCTTTGGAGGACAGAGACCCTGGTTCCATTACAGTTCCATCGGCTTCCTGGCTTTATGTTCTTGGGTATCTTAGCATTCTTAAGGCTTTATTCTCTTGGAACTAGAGATAAGTACTTGCCTCTTGAGGCTATTGTGGAGATTAAATAATATAACTTTATAAAGGCCGGGAATGTAGTAGACAGTAAATGTTATCCTTCCCCTTGATTGCTATAGCTTAGACGGGAGGGAGTTCTCTGCTGTGAGGAATCACCTCCTTTACTAAAACCGAAGAAAGAAGGTTCCCTTGGGGAAAGTGAGAACTTGGGGGAGCGGGGAGCGACTGGGAGGAGGGAGGGCCGGCCTCCGTGCTTAGGACCTGAAGGTTCCCAAGGACCTCTTTTGGCCTCTGCTGGCAGCATCTCCTTCCTGCACAACCAGGTCCCTACCCGCCACCCGTCCCCCCGCCCCCGTCCCCAATGTGAGCAGCGGTTTCCCATCCCTTAGTGGAGACAGGTAGATAGGTAGGTGTTAGAATTATTCCAGTTTCGCAGAGAAAGAAACTGAGGCTCAGAGGTCGGGAGACCCGCCCAGTGTCAGCGCAGTCCCAGGGTGGGCGCCGGCGCGGGCGCAGTCACGTGTGTGGAGGCTCGATCCCGATCCCGAGGATTTTGGGAGGCGGGCTCCGGCGTTTTGGACGCAGGGGCCGGCCTGGGGGTGGGGT